ACAAAATCATTATTTCTGATGGTGTTTCCGTGTTTTGAGGTACCATTCATGTCTAGCACAAACAGCATAGACTGAGGCATCAGAGGTGATATGAAATGATGATCTAAACAAAGAGTGCAATAAACAAGCCATTTCAATATTTATTGCATGAAAGATGACAAATTATGACTGTTAGTTGTGGCGTAATTTCCATAAATGTTGGTTACCAAGGAGACAAGTGTGAGTAAAGAGCATGCTTAAGATGAAATATGAAACGTATGATTGGAAGACAATGGAAAATTAAGAGACGTATCACAGTATTGTCAAATTATATAATTGTTTAATTAAATGAAATTAGCTCCCAAAATGTTTAATATACTTTCTTTTTTTTTTTTTACATTTATTAAATAAAACATTTATTTTTTACATTTTAGAAATTATGTAATGATGTATTTATTTATTATTTAATGGCAAATATTTAAAGTGAATGAAAACAGATATGGTTCCGAGGACAGTCTAGCCAAGAGCAGAATAAAACATTGAGCTGACAGGAATCTTAATGAAGACTTACTCAAGTCATCTAGTGCCCTTGATCAAGGTGACTTCAAGCGTAGCCCCTCTCAGGCTCTCATCACAGTCCTCAGAGGTTTATAAGCCTTACTCAATACAAGTCTTGTGTTAATGAATGTCAGTTCCTCTCTGAACATGTTCAGTCATTCACGTGCTGTGTGATGTTTGTTGCAGCAGATCTGAACGCTGCCAGTTTCAGGCTATATTTATGACTGACACACTTGTTTGGACAGATGTGTTGTTTGCTTCTGTCTGAGGACACTATATTAGACTAAAAGGTGCTTATGCTTTATTAGCCTTATTAGAATTGATTGATCCTGTGAGGATGGGAGACTGGAGGACAGAGGGGTGAGCAGAGAGACACAGACTCTTGCTGCTTTTCACTAAAAGACACTAAAAGCGTCTGAATCATCATAACATTGCATTGTGCTTACCATTTACATGTATCTTCATTTCCAACAACCATGACTGATGCTTATGTTGTTTTAAAATAATTACAATTATTTGCATACATCAATGATTTTATATTAAAATGTGAACCTGGACCACAAATGGTCATTGATGTATGGTTTGTTAGGATAGGACAATATTTGGCCGAGATACATCGGGTGTAGAATTTAAGGGTGCAAAAAAAAAAATATTGAGAACATCGCCTTTAAAGTTGTCCAAATGAAGTTCTTAGCAATGCTTATTACTAATAAAAAATGAAGTTTTGATATGTTTACAGTAGGAAATTTACAAATTATTTTCATGGAACATGATCTTTACTTAATATCCTAATGATTTTTAGCATAAAAGAAAAATCGATAATTTTGACCCATACAATTTAATGTTGGCTATTGCTATAAATGACTGGTTTTACTGTCCAGGGTCACAAATATATTGGCTAAATTACTGTAGCTAACTACACCAGTATGACAAGAAATATAGGGTGTGAATAAACAAATGTGATCTAAACAAAACATGTAATTAGCTATTACATTTACATTTACATTTAGTCATTTAGCAGACGCTTTTATCCAAAGCGACTTACAATTGGGGGATACATAAAGCGATTCTTCTTAAAGAGGCAAACAGACACAAGAAGTGGTTGTAATACCAAGTTCTTAGACATTGTTCAAATAAATACAAGCTAGAAAGAGAAGGAATAAATAAAGAGAGAGAAACTTTAAAAAAAAAAAAAAAAATTTTATGATGAAGTCAAGTAGCTTCGAAAGAGATGAGTTTTCAGCTGTCGCTTGAAAATTGTCAGGGATTCAGCATTCCGGATAGGGGTGGGAAGATCGTTCCACCAGCCAGGAGTGGTGAACGAGAATGTTCTGGAAAGTGATTTTGAGCCTCTCTGTGATGGTACCACGAGGCGTCGCTCACTAGCGGATCTCAGACTTCTGAAGGGGATGTAAATTCGTAGTAGTGAGTGGAAGTAGGCGGGTGCTGAGCCTGTGGCTGTTCTATATGCAAGCATCAATGTCTTGAACTTGATTCGAGCCGCAACCGGCAGCCAGTGCAAGGAGATGAAGAGAGGTGTAACATGGGCTCTTTTGGGCTCGTTGAAGACCAGTCGTGCCGCTGCATTCTGAATCATTTGTAGAGGTTTGATTATGCTTGATGGGAGTCCAGCCAGAAGAGCATTGCAGTAGTCCAGCCTAGAGATGACAAGGGCCTGGACAAGAAGTTGTGCAGCATGCTCCACTCAATGTATCGTAATATTGCTGATTAAAAACGGTAAATACAATAAAAATTCATTTTTACCATAATATTCTAAATAAGCATTTTATAAGTTAATTGAAAGACACAAAGTAGAACATTAGTAGTTAGCAATATTACCGATTTTTATTCATTTGCATTGTGCCAACATTTTTTTTCATTTTAATGCCCCCCACTCATTTAACTGGATTATAAATATTTTTTAGTCTGTAGTTTCAACTTCAATCATTTCCACTGTTCTTTTGTTTACAACATGTAATTAGAACATCACAGATCTGTTTCTGTAGTCCTGGACCCCACTGCTGCTCTGCAGGGGGAAACTACAGCAGGACATTATCAAATCATTGAATTGTGTCACATGGTGATGGATTGTTCCAGCAGGTTTACCGTCACACAATATTTAACAGATGGACGGACTGCTTGACGTGTTAGTGTGTCTTGGGTGTGTTTGGTAGAGACCAAACAGAGCAGCCGTATGCCAAATTTATTGAAGTCAGTCTCTCACATTCACATAGGCGCTGAGGAACGTGCTCGTATTTTAATGGCGGAATTCTCTGAAGTCATTTGTTTGCACTGAAAACCAGAAAAGGCTCCAGTGTAACCTTTGTTTTTGATATGCATATTTTAATATGCAAATCTCGAGAGCTCAAGGTTTGGACCAGTTAGCCCCTGCTGGTAGATGTCATAACTAAACCATCTGGCTGCAAAAAGCATCTTATTCACTGAGAGCCTTTCAAAGTAGCTTTGTACCATGTACATTGACTTTTGTTTGTTTGTTTTTCCTAGAAAGTTAAATAACGAATATTGTATTATATTTAGTGCTGTCAAACGATTAATCATGATTAATCGCATCCAAAATAAAAGTTTTTGTTTACATATGTATGTGAACTGTGTATATTTATTATGTATATATAAATACAAACACATGCATGTATATATTTAAGAAAAATTGTTTATATATTAAAAATATGTATATATAATGTAAAATATAAGAATATACATATATAAATGTATATACAAAATATATACATGCATTTGTATTTATATATACATAATAAATATACACAGTTCACATACATATGTAAACAAAAACTTTTATTTTGGATGCGATTAATCGTTTGACAGCACTAATTATATTACATTTCATTCACAGGTCATTTTTTTAAATAATACATTATAATATAATATGCTCTGAAATAATTTCAATAATTATTTAAATGATTAATAAATAGATAGGTACATAGATGGATGCTGTTAATAATAGTTTATTTTTATTGATTGATTGAGCTTTGTGATTGAAGTGCTTCTGTGAATTGTTCTGCTAGAGTTTAAATGACTGCTGTTCTCTTATGTATTGAACTGTTGAGCTGCTAATAGAGAGCAAAGAAAAAGTAATTCAACTCTGTGAACTTCAGGTTCATTCTGGCCATTTAATATCCTTTTCATGGAGTTGTTTTTCTCAATATATGACTCAGATCCAGAATAGGGTTGCAAAGGGGTGGAAAACTTCCAGTAAATTTCCGGAAACTTTCCAAAAATCCCAGGAATATTCAAAAAGAAATCCTGGAACGTTTCCAAAATTTCAGGAATATTTCCGAAATGTACTGGAAATTTTCCACCTTTTTGCAACCCTAATCCAGAAGCTAAAATAAGATGTTCCATTGGTTCATCAGTGCCATTTGTTAAAATTGCTTTCTCATCTGTTTTTAAAATGGGTTGCACATTTAATAATTCTGTTTCATTTTAAATGTACAGCTTTTCATAAAGATTTTTGAATAATTATGGCAATAATTATTCTATTTAATGGATTTATACATTTGTATGTAGCTTAATCAAGATGCCAAGTTTGCAACATTGAGATCAAAGAGAATCATCTGGTATGTTTACAAAGATAAGCAGTTTAAAACAGCTGAGATTGACTGAGCTGACCAGCCGGTCCTCTGCCAACAGATTTTTAGGCTTCCCTTTAAGCATACAGCTAGTGGTCACAGCCTGTGATGTGAAAAAACCTGTCATGCAGAGTAATTCTGCAGGCGCAGCATTTTTGTTTCTGCCTGCAGTGACATTAAGCACTAATTATAATTTTAGAAGCACTCAAATCTAAAGGACTAATGTACCAACTAATTAAGCAAAAATTTAGAAACATCACAGCATGCTACCATCCTTTAGTAGCCTGCTAAATGAAACATTGGAGTCTTCCTAATTGCCACTATGGAGAAAGAAGAAAATAGTACATCATCAGATACATTTATCCAGTCAAACCCATGCTGAAAATGGTATTTTCTCTTTTTATGACTGTGGTTTTGTGTACAAATGAATGTCCAGCCCTTATGTATAGCTCTCAGGGAAAGCCAGGGTTGCTCTTCCTTGGTTGTCTTATCTGTCTATCTGAGGTTCACTAATTAAGATCATGCCCATGCTGTAAGCCTTCAGATTTATGCTTTTGATTCATTGTAGTAATAAAATAACCGAAGGACACAAACTGTTCATCACACAAGAGCAAGATGTCTCATCTTTGTTCATGAGGGAACATTTTTCCCTGATGCATCTCTCTGGAATGAATGCATCTTTGTCCACTGAAGACACTTTGACCCTGAGATTCCACATCAGAAACACAGTTTCAAATAAATACACTTTGGATTTTAAGTATAAAGGCACCTTATCACCTAAATATCTTAGGATAGTGTAATCTACTTAAGGATGATATTAAAATGGACTGAAACTGATACTATGAGAATTGATCGGTTTAATGATAAAACATATGAACTAGACAAAGTCTCCACAATGCTATCAAACAAGTGACAGCACAACCACAAACATAAAGCACAAATAAAACAACAGACAGACAGCAGTTGTGTTTTTACTCAGGCACTTTGTGTTTCTGTGTCCTCCCTCCAGCAGAGGGCAGCATCTGCGTTCACGAATCCTCATCTGGGCATGTACTCCTGTGGTAGGCCGTCAAGGTTTCTGTCTCTGAGAGCACTGTCTACTGTCCGGATGTATTCATCTATACGAGCTCTCATTTCGGGGGTGAAGGGGTCAAAGGTCAGGCTACGTGATCCAGAGCGTTTAAAATGGCCGTCTCTGTTGCTCTTTGTGCACAGAAGTCTTTCCTCAGGAATGCTGGTGTTCAGGAAAGCGGTGATGGTCTTTAACTGAGGGGCTAGATCTTCTTGTAGATTTTCAAAGTGTACCACCAGCAGGCGGTGGGCAAACCGCAACCAGGCCAGAGCGTGAGACACCCACCAGGATGAATAGCTGTCCACAAACTCTGACCACTCTGTGAAGAACAAAAAAAAGCATCACTGTTAAAACTAAACTAGCATCTCCCACAAGCTTAAACCTAGGACTGCATAGCTTGGGGAAAACAAATCGAATTTGGATTTTTCTGATTGGAAAAAAATGCACTTGCGATTAAAAATAAAATAAAATTACACAATCTTGACTGCACAATTTCGTGATTATATATTAATATGGCTATATAATAATAATAATGCATAAGAACATAAACATTAATAAATAGAAACTAGTTTACATCATTTAGGATTGCAAAAGTTTTAAGAGTTGAATATTATTCTTTAAGAACCAGTGAATATTAATTCCATTCTTTTAAACCAATGAACTTACATGATCTTTTAGTCGTTTGAAATTTACAGAATAATATGTATGTATGTATGTATGTATGTATATATATTATTTACAGAATGTATTAATATACAGTGTATTAAAATATACAAATATTTGGTATTTTAACATATAATAACATTTAATATTTACTCAAATTTAACAACATTGAATTAATAAATATATGCAAAAACAACAATAACATATTACATCTATGCCTACGGCGTTTTAGGACCATTTCCAGATTTATCCCACTTTTACAAGACAGTCGGGAATCTTGTTTTTTCAAAGACAAAAACAGTTGTTGAGGGGTAGAAATACGTTTTATTTATTTTTTTATTGTTTTAGCTTTTTTTTAACTTATCATCATAACTCATCATCTTATATAAGTCATCTTGCGGCCTAGATGTTTGCTGAAGTCACCTGGTTAAGACCCATTGCTCTAAACTCTTTGAATATACTGTAAGGCTGAAACTAATGGTGTTTCATCATTAGCACCTTTGCTCCTCCAGTGAACATCTGACGCGTAGCCCAGGTGTCCGGCACACTTGCGGTTGAACTCTGCCATTAGAGAACGATAGGGGTTTCGCATTAGCAGGATGGCCGAGTCGAACATTTCAATCTCACGCTGGCCGCTTTCATGAGTCTTGACGCAGATGACTCTCCCGCTCTGCCAGTAATCCTTCTCTCCTTTAAAACCTGCAGAGATGTGAGAGAACCACTATTCCTGAGGAGAAAAATTTGAGCCGAGTCTCTATTTGCTTTCCAATCAAGGACTAACAAATGAGATGTTTAAGATACGTCAGTTTTGATCTTCTTTATTTTGGGCAAGACCTAAAAGTGTTTGTGTTTCTGTTGAGTTCATTTTCTCACTCCTGCAGACTCATAATAAATCTCACAGCTGAAAGTGATGAGTGTTTAAGTCTTATTAGTGGACTTTCACCTTTGTTGTACAGAGATCCATCAAAGTAATAGCTGCCGGTGTAGAATCCAGTGGCGAGTTCAATCAGGTGACGTAACCAGGTGTTTCCTGCCCCTGGAAAGCTGGACAGGGCTACAAGAGTGCTGGACTTCTGGGGCATAAATCTCCTTTCTTTGCACGTTGCATCTGAAAGAACAGATCTTTGCGGTTGCAGCATTAGTTCTTAAAGAGCCGTAAAGTTTGAATTACATGCTGTAGGTTACCAAGCACAGGAGTACTGTACACCCAGTAGTAGTCAAGGTCATAAGGAGAGGTGTGGTTTGTTTGGTTGCTCCTCTCACACATGTATTCCTGTTCACTCATCTGGATTGTGAAGAGAAATGGGGCATGGCTGCAGAAACAGTCCTGCCCTCTCAAAAGGGCCAATGGCAGGTCCTGATAAGGTCACACACAATTTACAAGTGAAGGAATGGAAATAAAAGATATCACCTGTAATGAGTAGTAATGGTCAGCCAAATGATGTCCTTCTAGTCTAAACAAATACAGTGTGAATTAAGCAGAGATTTAAGAATTAGTATTAACATTAGTTTTATTATTATTAATAATAATAACTATGCACCTTTGAGGCTTGGCCTCAAAATTATGATTTTTATTACTGTTAGTAATGAAAAAAAAATAATAATGTATTATTTATTTTAATAACATTTTTTTAATTAATTGTATAATTAGTGATAATAATAATAATAATAATATACAGCATTTTATAAATATTTTTATTTTATTATATTTTTATTGAATAGTAGAACTTGTAGTACAAGTATTATTCATAATGCACATTACTTTTCTAGTCTAATGATCACCATAAAGAAAACACATTTGTATGGATGGATAAATGCATTTGTGAATTGAACCTGATCAGTACAGGTCTCGATACACTGCTGAGGTGTGTGTGTCGGGCCAGAGGTCTGGTTCAGGAAGCCAGCGGTAGAGTTCTGTGACTTCTTGTAACAGCCGTGGTAGTGCACAGTTCTGTCTGAGAAACATTGAACAGAAGTCTTCTTACCCAAATCCTCAGGTGAACCTCACTGTATTCAGCAAATGCCACATGAAGTTACAACAAGAGCGGTGCTCACTATCTCTCCCCAGGTGAAAAAAAGTGCAGTAAAATACACTTTACTTCAGTACACTTCCATAATGTACTTACAGTAAAGTGCTCTATTTTCGTGCACTAATTTTGTACTTAATATATTAAAAATTATTCTTTAGTACTTCTTAAGATAATCTTGAAAACATTTAAGTTTACTCAACAGTGCTATTTTGGGACACCATGAATATGAACTAAAATGTGCTTTTAACATACTTTCTCTGTTAATAAAATTTATTTAGTTACCACTTGTAGTATAACTGTAACCATCTTTCAAAATATTTTTAAATATACTCATCATACATAGAAAATAATACATACAAAATGTATTTATAATGTATTGCCCACATTTTTTAGATTAAATAATTAATTTCAAATGTATTGTAATTGTTACCTTTCCCTTTGTATGATATACTTAACTACATGTTTATGGTGTCTTTAAATGGTATAATCAAGTACACTATTACTGTCATTAGCACTTCAAGTACGTTATGCTAAAAGTATACTTACTGTTAAATTGTGAATCTAATCTAAACACATATGAATAATCCAATCATGTGCTATTGGTGCTATTTTTCATGAAAATCCAAATAGAACTTAGGGATAGTATATATAAAAATCCACTAAAATTTTATGTAAAGCAATCCTAGCACACTTCTGAGCAATGCAGTTATAAAACACTTCTGGTACTTTATCTGACTACTTAAAATCAATTCAAGTGTTCGTACTAATTAGTGTATTTATATTAAGTGTACCTAATAGGAAAGTTGGGAAAATGTACTTATAACATAGGGGTGTCCCCGACTAAGGATTTTCATAGTCAAATCGGAATTTTCGAATCTTGCTGATAGTCAACTGATAGTCGAATCATATGTTTGGGGGCGGGGCAAAATACATTACCAAGAGTCAAGTCAGACATTCGACAGTCATAATTACTGACGTTAACACACGGGGAAAATGTGTAACGTACGCCTCGCAGATACAAATGGTGTAAATAATGTTTTATGTTTTGATTAAAAGATAGTTAACATTTTTTGCAATAGTGCTCTCATTATAACGTTATGTTCTGCATTTCTGTTTTGAGCTGATTTAACTCGGAATACGCTTCGTTATTTCTACAGCATAATATTACGACTTATAGACTATCTGCACAAAATCCCCCGAATGCACCGAACGTGTCTGTGTGGCTCTGAATGAACTCCTTTTGTGGACGCGTTCTTCATGCAACAACGTACAGAAACATGGCAACTAAACTCTAAAAATTCACAGCGTTTATGCTCTCATTATAATGTTATGTGTATGACAGTCCAGTCATAGTTATTAATATTCTGCATTGTTGTTTGTCCTGCTCGGCAAGAGATAATACTGTAGATAATTGAAGAGATAATCACAGTAGTACAACAATGAAGCGCTTGACTCAACCAAATGCATCTTAAACGAGATAAATAATATAAACACGATATATATATATATATAAACCGGCTGAAATGTTTTGAAATCACTTGTACCCTACCTGATCGAAAAAATCCAGTCTTTCACTCTGTCTGTGTCATTTTGAGTCTTGTTAAAGGGGTCATATGATGTGATTTTCAATTTTTCCTTTCTCTTTGGAGTGTTACAAGCTCTTGGTGCATAAATAAGATCTGTAAAATTGCAAAGAATTAAGTCTCAAATCCAAAGAGATATTCTTTATAAAGGTTAAGAGTCAACCATGCCTACCTAAAACGGCTCGTTCTAACACGCCCCCACATGTCTACGTCAAGATGTGGGAAGATTTGCATAACGCCGCCCAAATGTTCACGCAAAGAAAGAAGGTGTAACTTTTATTCTCGCTGTAGTATTGTCGTGAAGGCACTGTGTGTTTCGTTGTGAAAGCGAAACTACTTTGTTTGGCCTTCCAAAAGAGGACGATATCCGCTTCGTCATGCCTAGAGCTGATCCGTGCTGGTTGCTGAGGAAATACATCAACTTCGCGCTGTGAATCGCTGGATCGGCTTTCACCGTGGACGAAGCGGAGTCCAGCCTGGGGTCGTCACATGTGGTTGCCGCAAGCCCGCCGGCCGCTCCTTCGTTGAATCCGCCGGCCGCCGCTCACTCAAGGCCGCCGTGTGTGACGCCGTGTGCTTCCGCATAAACACATTTCATTACACCAAATACATAAAATAATGTTCTTTTAAGCAACATCATATGACCCCTTTAAAGTTTTAAATCCCTGCCGCCAAGATGCTCCTCTGTCGGTCACGGATTATGGAAAGTGAAACTTAAATCTATAGGGGTGGTTGGATTTATTCACGCACGTTAAAATATTTATTTGAAGCTTCTTTCTTTTCAGATTCTTATTTACAGCATTATCATAATAGGCTGTATATTAACTTATTGGGAGAAAACCGGTAGTTCTATGTGAAATCAGACATTTGAGAACCCCCATAAAGCCAAAATAGCATGATCATAACACCCCGCGAATATTCGACTGTGAGATTGGTAGTCGAATCAGGCTCATCCTATCGAAGCATCGAATCGTCGACTATTCGGGGTCACCCCTATAATAACTATTACATTACTAATATATTTTAAATAAAATCTGTTTAATTTCAATTTAGGATAACTATATAAAAGTGTACTAATGTTGAACAAATTTTTAAATCATTCAAAGCACACTTTTAAGAAATACACTAATAAGACTCCTCTGTATATTTTTGCGGTATAATATACTTCAATTTAAAAATCAGTGGTATTTAGTATACTTTTGCAATTGCACTGAACTACTACCGCAGTAGAAATATACTTTTATTTAGTGTATTTATAGTGTATAACAATTTTATTTAGCACAAAAATAAGAATGTACTACAAATGTACTTGCTTGTACTTGCTTATTTTTACCCGGGGTCACGCTTTTCTGTCTCATTTAATCATACTCCATCCAGGCCCAGTTTAGTCCGAGTTCTGGCCTTTAAGATAGTTATTCTCTAATCCATTACTCACAAAAAAAATCCCATTAAACATGTCATATGTGTGTGGCCTGTTCAAGCAGAATCGTGTTCATGTTTGTAATACTTCTGTTTTAATGTGACTCACATCTCCTCTGTCCTGGAAGTCTATCCTCAACTCTGTAAACAGACATGCGTCCCACCCCTCCACAGCGGGATCCCTTCTCTCCACGGCAATCCAGATTACAGTCTTCACCCCGAGCCCGGTGGGCACAGACCCGATTTCCACAGTGACACTCCGCTCCATACTCCAGCCCAGCATACCGGAACCCACTGCAAAGAGGACACAGCCTTCAAGCATGGTTCACTCAAAAGTAAAAAAATAAGTTGTCATTTACTCTCAAAAGCCCTCATTTACCCTCATTTAGAGTTTCTTTCTTTCTGATAAATATTTTAAAGAATGTTGGTAACCGAACAGCTGATGATCATTGTATTTTTGTCCTTACTACGGGAGTCAAAGGGAATCATCAACTGTTCAGTTAACCACATTCTTCAAAATATCTTTTTTTGTGTGTGTTCACCAGAGGAAAGAATACAGGTTTGGAGTAAATGATGACACAATTTTGGGTGAACTTTTGAGGGAATTTACATAGACATGCACATGCTATTCTATTGTATTCTGTTCTATTTTACATTGTTCTGTTCTGCTTTACCAGTCTTATCTCGTCAGAAATACTGCACTTCTGCGTTTAAGAATAAGGTGGATAAATGCATCAGAAAGTACCTGTTGGCATTTCCTAAACGAAGCAGCACATAATAATATTTTGAGCAGTGAATACATTTTTTTCTGACTTTTGAATATTCCAAGTTGATTGTTTTAAAATGGCATTTCTGTATTTGAAATGGCTTTAGTATTTATGTATTTTTAACACTCTTTCTCTTGCTGACTGTGACTCTCTGGATGAACTCCAGGTCAGTCGCGTCAGCCAGCTCACATTCTGCCACCTGCTTCTGTGGATAAACACTAAATGCATTCTTCTAAAAGAACAGGCTTTCTTTCATTTACTCTGTGTACCTTCTTTAAGACGTTACCTCTCAGAGCAGGTGTCCTGACACAAGGCGCTGGTCATTTTGCGGAAATCATAAAGAATGGTCCCGCCGAGTGCGTGCTCCGTTTCATTGTTTATAAAACATCCGATGTAGGTTCCTTGTTGAGAATGATTCAGAAACAATTTAGAATAACTATAAAAAATCTCCAATTTAAGATGGTTATTTTATAAACCATTACCTTTTTGTCTGTCTTTCTTGTGTGACAGATTATGTTCAGAAGAGCTTTTCTGTTCTGCATTATCATGGAACCAGTGGCGTCTCAAATGCCTGATCTCCAGATTACGAGATATGAAGTGTTTTTGGTCCTTTCTGCTGTCTGTCTGATCACGAGGTTGGTTCTCCATCACTTGGATGACATTCCTTCTGTACAACCACCTGGCAGCAGGTAGCTCCAGGGGTCTAGGTGGCGCTGGTAGTGAAGGTAGCGCCGCGGTATCTGTTTCTCTCTGAAATGTTAGCACACTGGAGCGCTGAAGCAGTAACACGCTTCCTGCCATGATGTAAGCCACACCCAGAAAAAACAGAAGCAACTGAGCCCGCCTTAAAAAGTGCTGTAGTCTGTAGAACGGCTTGGCCATTCTGGTTCAGACCATTCAGATGGATGTCAAACAATTATTTTACTTATACAGGACAAATAAATACAAGATTGTATATTCTAGGCAACATCCTGATCTTCATCCTTTAGAGATTTAGCTCCTGGTGTCTACAGCATCATGAGTTCACAGGACCTAAAATAAATAGAAACGGCTGTCAGGATGAATACAGGATCAGATTATTAAAGAAACCAATGTTCCCCTTTAGATTCTAGCCATTTACTCAGATCTGAACAGTTAATATAAAAAAATAAGTGAACCACTTTTTTTCTGTAGATGCTGAGAAGGCTTGTTGTGACCCAGAAGAGGCTTCAGCCCTTTGGGGCTAATGAGCTGCTTGTGATGAATCGATTAGAGTCTGATTATCATTTTCCCGTTTGATTTATTAAACATGTTTGGAAAAACAAGAAAACTGTAGAGAACCTGCTAGCTGAAACAAAATATCTCTGAGGTATAAAAACATCTACAGAAGGAATCGCTGAATTGTTGGTGTGTCTTGTTCTTCATTATGCCTGGTGGTTTATGGGACGCGAGTTGTCTGTCCGTCGGAGTGATGGCTTGGAAGAAATTTCTGCCCGTGGGAGGGGAGAGCTGTCCATCCTGCTGAACTTCATGTCACAGATCACAGAGCTCATTCATATTGCAGACAGAGAAAATATGTCCAGATTCATCAGTGTATAGTAAAGCTTATAAAGTAATGTGTCGGAGGAAATGATTTGTTATGCCAGAGTATTAGTAGCCTATACTTTGCAACTGAAATGATCTCAAATCTGATTCTACTGATATTTGATTAGTTTAACCCCAAGGTCAATACAAGCTCAATGTTTATTACCAGAAAAAATCATTTCTACTAAGGAAATATAAGTGTTACAGTGAGGCACAATGGAAGTCAATAACATACTGTAAATGTTAACCCTAATGTAAAATTCATTACTAAATTGCAATAGTATAGCCAAAAGATGTAAACAATATATATTTTAGCTTCAATTGGGCTTAACTTGGGTATTAATTGGGTGTTAAACCCAGAATATTCCTTAAAGGATGTAACAACTACTAGAGGATCAATCATTTTGACAGCATTATCTCCTAATATTTTCCAGATTTCCATCAGGACTACAAATAACAGCGAAGCAAACAACATATGGCATTGCTTGTTTAAATTCATCATCCGCTCTGAAATGCTGGACAGTTCGTCGTGTAGAATCTGTGGAAAACGGTCTTTGCGCCAAGAGGATTCTCCAGAAAAATAGCACTTGTTTGTAGACTAGTGTTATATTTCTGCAGTCAATTGTGCAGCCTATAGAAATTGAAATAGTTGACATGCTGATTGAAACCCCTTTCTCTTCTTGATGGGAATCTGATGGTCAACATCCAAAACATGATGTTTATCAGCACAGTATATGACAGGTTTTTTTCTTCTTCATCTTCTTCTTTTAGCTCATTCTGATTGGGTATTGGCACTTTATGCTGTTTGCTTAACACCTCACTCAGCATGTGTATTTAGAAATGATCTATAACCTATTTTAGTTTATATTTTAGTTTTGTGGTATGGGGTTGTTTATCTCTGCATCTGTTTGTTATATTAAAGCATAAAATGCAGTCTATTATTCAGACTATTTAGAGAATAAGTTGAATATCTTCGGTCTGCAAAATAAAAAGTAACATTCTCTATATGGTCATTTAAAATGCATTTTAATGTTAAAAAGAAGCAAAGTTATGACCACAAAACCGAGCCAATGTTCTTTTATTCGTCTATAAAACTTTCCAAGCGCAAACTGTCAATCATTTGAAAAGAAACTAACCTCAATGTAGTTTAAACATCTCTTACAGGCTACAGTATTGAGTTTCACGAACAGCTTCTTAAGTTTACATGGACTTTTGTTCATTTAGGTTTGAGATAATTAACATGACGTTATTCTTATGAGCAAAACACAACGTTAAGTTAACGGTTAATATCAAACGTTAAGACAAAATGAACCGAGACTTCCATATGCTTTTTTAAAAATTAATACAGTACGATATTTGCCAGTAAATTATGCATAAGGCTGCGTTCAGATACACAGAGATAATTGGAGTATATACTAAGATGAGACTCGTTTACCTTTATGTGAGCGTGTAGCCTCAGATCAGGCGCGGTTCTGACGGACGCGGATCTGTGCGTCTCGCTTCCACTGACTGGAGTCCGGTGATTCCTGACTGGAAATACTCGCCGGCTCTTCCCCGCTGCTTAACTCTAGCCGTCGATTACAAAATCATGTTTTAATCGCATGTTTAACTACTTTATCGGTTTCTAAATCTTCTGCAGCTTTTGGACGACTTTTTTGTATCTGTACGTCCTTTTTAAGTCGTTGAAGAGAAATTAGAGAGAGTCGTGAAGAATATTCCCCGAATTAAAACGGCGTTGCTGTTCTCTGGCAATGTGTAAAACACGGACTGAACCACTGCGATTAGATGAGCTCATTACAGAGCAGCCGCTGATGTCAGGCTTTACAGACTCTCTGCCAGCACCAAAACAAGACACCAAATTACTATTAAAAAGCCAACTTGCTTGTTTACACTTTATACTAATGTCTAATACGACCATTAACTAGGCTATAAGATTATAATGGTTCAAGATTATTTGAAACATTAATTTATGCTGTTTTTCCCCCCTGCACTGTAGCAAATGATTCGAGGTTGCATCTCCCAAAACCCGTTGAAAACATATTATATTTCATCCCAACCCCAAATTATATTTTGCGTAAAGAAAATGAAACCTGTTTTTATTACTATTAGGATTTTTTTTTTAAATTGTAGCATTGTCATGCTACAACAAAACACATTTCCAACAAATTCTCATTGCAAACAATTAATATTTATTTACTGAATAAGAATGTGTTGGAAATGTTATAGTTTGTATTGCCCGTACTTAATCATGATTAAAAAAAAATTAAAAGTATTATAATGGTGTCAAAATCCTTTATGAAAAATATTATTCTTCTCTTTCTGTATTTTTCCTCCCACTCAAACACTTCAAGCTCTCAAAATGCCTCATTGTACAGCATTACACAGTTTGATTAATGGTGATTTAATCACAGGCTTTCAAAATCATTTCTAAGCTCTTGGCCACCATTTTTTTTAAACCATATGTGGATTCTGTTCTCAAGACTAACAGAATACATTAAGTTTTTATTTGGACATTGGTTATTTGCTATGGAGATCTGTAATACCTCAGAGAGGGAGACTATGGCTCACTGATGTTGGGCTTTTGTGTTCCAGAGTTCCTTTGGCTCAGAGATCTGGCACTATCTGCGCTGCCGCTGCGCAGGACAGAGGCTTTGTTTTTGTGGGGACAGGAGAGGAGCCCATTCATCTGCAAAGATACATATTGTCAGAGACACACACACACACACACACACACAGAAAGAACCCCTAAAAAGAAAGAGAGAGACATAAGCACACCTGTATACAGTTCATTGAGATGAATTTTCTTGACACTCCATCATACCTCAGAACAAAAAGAAGATAAACTTATGCATTCTGTCCCTAATGTTATTCTTATGCATTTGTTCTCCTCTATTCTATATACTTACAGTGAAACTGTAAAAAATCATTGTAAAATATTTGAGCATGTTAAGAAGCCTTTGCAATAATGTGACAGCACAACCAGTACTGTGTGTAAGAATCTGTGTCCGCCACATAATTATATTTGCTCATCACTCTTATAGCCACATTTTGTACATTCCATAAAATTGTCCTTGATTTTTTTTAGATATTCAGAGTCATTTTGAGCAACCGTTATCTGTATGAGTGACTCATGTCCACTAGAGGCTTGTGTGCCTTGCACTCGTTTTGTTAATCTGTTTTTGAGGTTTGTCCCTCAGGAACACTGACTACAGAACAGTGTGCGATGTTTTCAAGTAATTATATTGCACTTATGTTCAAGGTCAGGGACCAATCGACCAGTTGATTCCATTTGGTCCTGGCGGCTTGGCTCAATGGGGAAAATCAGATTAAAATCTCTTGATAACCGCACATTTAGGGGCTCCAGGCACAAACTGCAGATACAATCAGCTGCCCTGCACATCTCTCCGATGAGAGCCATATACACCCTAATTGTCTGTCTTTCTCTTTCTGTCTGACTTTCACATTATCTTTTTTGTGACTGTTTTATTTTCTTAGGCTGTTTGAAAAACAGCAGCTGATGTGACTTTCACAATCCGTCAAACAGAATTAGTGTTCAGGCATGCAAGAAATATGCAGACCATTTCCTGTGCACTTCTCATGGCTTAGACCTGGGTGAAATGATTAAACTCGATTTTTAAACATCAGAAATTATGAAAAAAAAACTGAAATTGCTGAATTTTTCATGTTGACTCAGGCTTGCAAATGTGCTAATTTACCCTTATTCATAGATGTGTAAACCTTATTCCAGATGTCATAATCTATGTGAATTAATTCATACACAATTCTCATTTACTAAATAATGCAGAGAGTTCCTGTCCTGGATGCTGATTGGACAATAATGCCTTCCAGTTGAACATAAATGCACAACAGAGTGCTTTAGTGCACTTTTTCAGTGGCATTAGTTCTGGAAGTTTTTTTTTTCCCCGTTAGTGTATTATTTTCCCATAAGGGTTTTAAAGAAGTCTACATTAAAGCCTTATAAGCCATAACCAGTTATGAGGTGAGTCACAACTCTACAAATGTTTATTTGAAGCAAAAACAAAATCAGAAAAAAGACAAAGGTACAGTACAAGACAGCTTTAGAGAAAGAAGTGCAATGAAGCATTGAATTACATACATTTAAAGACGATGGAGAAATATAAACCTATTAATTTAAAGTTGTTAATTTTATCTGTAAAAACAATATATTTTAAGTCTACAGCATCATGGGTAACATAGATTTTCACCACAAATTCAGCTGTTAAACATGATTATATTAAAAATAGGTTGAAATAATGCAAACAGATGGCTTCAACAAAAGCATATTAAATGAAATAACAACCTCAGAACTCACAGTATGTGTCTTTATAAGACATTTTATAAGTGGTTTATAAGTTAGTTAAAAATCAATTTCCCAATAAATAGATGGAATAAAATGTCTGTAAACAAAGCTTCACTTTAGAACTGTTACATTTACCAAGCTTTACTTTAATTCATTCAAAGACCTGAAGTGACAATGTTAACACGGTGTTTTAATGATTTTATGTTGCTTTATTTCACCCAGCAACCCTAAGAAAAGAGCTTTTGTTGGGCCAGAGCTTTCCATGGACTGTTATTAAATGCACTTTTCAATCTTTTTCTTTTTGTGTCAGTTTTAATGCGTAAATCCCACTGTGAAAGACACCTTTCATGTTGATGTTTTGTCACAATGAACCATCTTTTTGAGTGCTCAAGTCTGTCTGCAAATGAAGTAAAAGAAAATTGTGAATAAAGCTTTTTTTATTGAGGGTCTGCTGTCGGGAAGCACCAGCCTCGCTAATGAACAGGCCAGCGATGAAGAAAATGCTATTAAATCACAGCACTGAATTACACTTCAGACTGCTGTCATAATGTATCTCAACACATTCAATAGCAGAGTGCTGGGATTGGTTTGGGAATCACCATAGTAAAATACACAGATTTTCCTGAACCACTTATTTATCAGTGCACTACTGAAAATACAGCTGTATTTGTTAACAAAATGTGACATTGCACGATTCAACACGTAGTTCGATACCTGATGGCAGTTCTTTTTAGAATCATATGTGTAAAGAACCAGTGTGGTCCGATTCCCAAACAAACGACTATGCTAAACCATAATAATGTGGATGCAGTACATCTGAGTTTATATAAAATATGCTTTTTTTAACGATTACGATTCAAACCAAATGTAATACCTACTAGGCAGTATGCGAAGTTAGTGAATCACAAGCCTACAATACAACCAGTGTAGTGTGATTCCCAAACGATTGACTCACATGATCTGGTTCTTTTTAGTGAATCAAACATGCACAGCATAGCCAGTAGTCCTCAGGAGTCCTCAATGGATGACTTCTCTGAGCTGGCTCTTTTTAGTGAATCATAAGTACTTTCCCCAGTCAAATAGCTCTTATGAGTTGACTCTTTTCAGTGAATCAGAAACACACAACTAACAAATCAATGATACATATCATACAGATATGAATGAAATGGCTTTTAGTGCTTATTGCATTGTAGTTTGATCATCTGATTGTATTTTAGATTTCAGTTTTTTATTAGTGGTTTTCTATTGTTTTTGTGATGTTTAGGGTCAGGGGTTTGTTTTAAACCTGCAGCCAGACAAAATATACTTAGAAAGAGATCAAGGGATTTAACTTCACAGATTCAGAGATGTTCACCGGAGCTCAAACCAATGGAGAGAAGAGAGAGGGCTGACCTTTGTCCTCATTAATTCAGGTGAAAAAATGATTGCCAAAAGTGCAGGTTCTGTTGCATTGTAGAGCTCATCATCTGTGTTTTGGACTGGCTCTTCAGACAGACTGCCTTATGCATGAGAAAGATCCCTCTTTGTGCTCTGAGGGGTCCTGCTGTATGTGTCTCTGTCTCATCTGGATGGCAGTCATGCTCAGACTGCGTTTTATGCTCCTGAGGAGAAGCCTCAGGTCCTTCTATACACACACACACACACACACACAGAGGCTTGTGGAAAATAGTGGCCTGGAATTCAAATGAACGTACAATAGAGCAGGCTGAGGCCTTTGGCCACTTCTAGTTGAATCCAATACAAGTAGTCCTTTATCTCTGCGGCATTTAAAAAAAATCAAACCTGACATTTCATGTGGGCTCCTGGGAAATACAGGCATACAAACAAAATATGTCATTAAAGTCAAGCAAGTAAACAATACCTAGAGCCAAGGTAATTTCTAATATCTGTGGGCATCAGCTTCCTTTTTCAAATGATTTGAGGACTTTCATTTGCATTTCTACTTTCTTGAACATGAATTTCTTAAAGGAATACTCTTCTAAAAACTGAACGTCCTGTCATTTATTTGCACGACCTCATGCTGTGCCAAATCCATAAGCTGTTTTCTGTGGAACAGAATGAAATTTATTGTTGACAATGTGTTTAACACCCAGTCAAGCCCTCTATTTGAGATTAGCAGTATGAAAACAGTAAGCTTCGTTGTGCTGGTGGCATACTCTTGGCTGGAGAGATAAAAGGCTCAAATGTTTTCCAGACGATTCTGTCTAGAGACAATGAAAAAAATAGTCATTTTCAGTTTCAATCTTTTATCCCCTCGCGTTTATTTTGATGCTATATTTTTCCTAGACTATCTTCAGACCAACAGAAATGGTGAATTTATTTTAGACTACAGATGGAAATTAAATAAAGCATCTAATGTGAATATTTGTAGGGGGGAGGGGAATCTGTGGTTTGAGTTTTTTTTATAAAAATGAAACCATCAA